AAAAATTGAAAAAAATTCCCTCGTTCCCCGTAAATGGGGGAAACCTCCAAAAAAATTACAAATTTAAAAATCGCTAATTTTCGAAATTTTTTCAATTTTTTTTACTTAAAATTGCTATAACTTTTTTAAAAATAACCGAATAAATATAATTATTTTTTATATAGATGCATGATATCATTACCTTTCATTTGGTATATTTTTTTTTATATGTGACCCTTGACTTGCCCACAGGAGGGGATTTAAAATGACAACTTTTTCACAAAAAAATAATTTTTTCAACTTGATTTTTGAAAATGTTCCGGAAGGTCTGACACTTTTATATATATCTTAAATTAAAGCTAATGTAATATGCTTTATCATGAAAAAAAAAAATTTCGGACTTTATCTTATCTTCATGGTGAAAATGGCTACCGAATGCTATTTTTGTGTGAAAATTTTCGATTTTGTATTTTACATTTTTAATTTTATTATGCTATAACTTTTTGAAAAATGTATGAATCATTACAATTTTTTTATGAGAAGTAGTATTTATATAGATCTTTCATTCGACATACTGTTTTTTTAAATCGGACCATTTCCCTAAATACAGGGGGGATTCAAAACATAAAAATGCATATAGAAAGTAGAACTTTTTCAACGTNCAAAAATACATATAGAAAGTAGAACTTTTTCAACGTAACTTTTGAAAGTGTTCCTGAAATACTGACAGTTTTATATATATATATATAAAATTAAAGCTAATGTAATGTACTTTATCATGAAAAAAAAAAATTTCGGACTTTATTTTATCTTCATGGTGAAAATGGCTACCGAATGCTATTATTGTGTGAAAATTTTCGATTTTGTATTTTCCATTTTTAACTTTATTATGCTATAACTTTTTGAAAAATGTATGAATCATTACAATTTTTTTATGAGAAGTAGTATTTATATAGATCTTTCATTCGACATACTGTTTTTTTAAATCGGACCATTTCCCTAAATACAGGGGGGATTCAAAACATAAAAATGCATATAGAAAGTAGAACTTTTTCAACGTAACTTTTGAAAGTGTTCCGGAAGGTCTGACNGGAAGCGTTTTTTTTGATAGTGATTTAAATCACTGTCAGATATCATAATACTTGATCCAACTATGCCACGTCACCACTGTGCCGCGATCCCCCTGTGCTGGGTTTTTTTTTTAAATTATATATACCTGCTTGATAACAATAACAACCGATTTTTTAAGTAAATCGTAATTATTTGACAAAAGATTTCTAAAAATTTTAGAGAAATAAACAATATTTTGCATTGTTACTTTATTTAGAATGCCTTGGATTTTTTTTTCGGTGACCTATAAACATAAATAGTTAAAATTAACATACATTTAAAATAATGTTTATTGAATTACCAAATTTATTTTTTTATTTTTTGTAGACGATAATAATTTTTGTGATAACCAGGGATTTATTATTTTATTAAGTTTTAATTTATTTTCATCTGAATTATTTGCTTTGAATTTTTTTCTGCACTCGTTGTTTGTTTTTAATGTTCTTTTGGTATTTTTTGGTATATTATTAGGTGCGATTTTTTCTTTACAGCTCCAATTATTGTTTCTTAAATTAAAAATATGATGAATCTTAGATCGAAGATCATTTGAAATTTTTATATTGTTGTTTTCAGATACAATCAATCTTAAATTCTCATAAAATGCATTAAAACATTGTTTCGACTTCTAAAAAAATACAAATGAAAATTTATACCTATATCTCTAAGGTAAATGATACGGTCCATTTTGTTAAAAAATAGAGTTAGCTAAGTTATTAACAAATTTTTTGTTTTTGAGGATATTTAAAACACTATGTTTAGTTATCATAAATAATGAGAACAGAAGCATGTCAATGTACTTCAATGGGAATAAAAAAACAAAACTTTCTCTCTAAAAAAATTACAAATTTTTGGTATTGTTTTTTAACCTCAAGGTTTTATAAATCGTATATAATTAAAGACATTACTTTAATAAATTGAAAACATTTTCCTCGTTTGAGAAAATACCCCAAAAAATGACAATTTTCAACACTTTTTGAAAAATTAAAGAATTTTGTAGTAATTTTGAAGTAATTTTGAAATTTGAACTAGCTTAAATAGACAATTTTTTCAACCGACGGTTGCCGAGACGGTTAAACTTGTGTTTTACACGCTTGAGGTACAAGATTCCAACACGCGTATAATAATGAATTGTTTGCATTTTTTCTTAATTCTTTTTAAGTTAAAATAAATTTTCAACTGCTTTGATTTTTATCTCATTTAGATTCAATAACTTCAATAAAGATCAAGGATCCCATAATTTTAGTCGCCCCTTGTAAGAAGAAATTTCTTATTCGTATTAAAATTATTTTACTATATTTTAAGTTTTAGCTTCGATGCAAAACTGAGAAGATATTTTTTTGTGACAATCATTTATTTTCTCTGTTATAACTTGACCTACTTTTTTCAACGATACGTCAAATGACTACAATTCGTATTTAGTTAAGATATTACCCTCAAAAATTGAAAAAAAATTGAATGAAAAAATGAAACAGTTACTTATCCCATGTTTTCCATACAAACAATTAAAATCATTCATTTCTTATGTTTTCAAAGTATTTATTGACGAATCAAGTTTGATATGATAGGTTGATATGATAGGTTTCAAATACAAAATTAAATCATTTTACTTTGTAATTTAATAATTTTTTTACTCTATTTGTGTGTGCTACTACTAGACTATAATAATTCAAATTTTTTGGTAACGTGTTGCTATATACATTATTTCTAAAAAAAATTATTGTTAGTTTCTCCTGAATTAATAATGGATTTTTATAATTATAATCAAATTTTATTATACGCTCAATTGAGTAAATCTTATTAACAACTTTAATTTGATTGGTTCATTTAGTTTAAGTAAATTAAAATTAATTAAGTTCTGAATATTCCAATTGCAGAATATTTTCAAACACCAAAAGTTACTAGGTAATGATTACTATTATTTCTATTTCAGTTATCTATTACGATAAAAATGCAAATAAATATTGAGCTTTTCTGATAAATTTACAATAAATAGTAATTATAAAACTTTCTGACTGCATATTAATCTTAACGATACAATTTTTTTAATTGTCATAAAATTTTCTATTTAATTATGTCAATGTCAAACTTACCAATTGAGCTAAAAGTTATGGNAATAACAATTTTAAACTTGCAAATTGAGCTAAAAGTTATGAGGTAAAATAAATAAATTTTTTTTATTATAAACATTCACAAAAATCAACTTTAAACGATTAAAAAAATAGGTTAAATATGTCATTTTCCTTATTTTTAACTTATTAATAATCAAATTAATATTAAATATNTTTCCTTATTTTAACATATTAATAATCAAAATCAGTATTAATTTAAAACAATTTTTTTTTGTTCTTAATTTTTTTTTTTATATATATATATATATACTTATTTTTAATAATAAGTAAGAATACTAAAACTTAGAAGTAATAGAAAAGGTTTAATTGCACATTTAAAAACATCGCGAAAAGTTGATTTAGAAAAGTATATTTTTGTTTCTGATGAAAGTTCATTTTAGTCTAGTGTATTCATAAGTAACAAAAATTTTTTATGAAAAAGTATTGCATCAATCCCTTTAAATTTTTATACGCATTAATGGTATATGAATATACAAATTTTTATAATATTTCCGTAAAAATTACAATATTATATTATTGAATATCAATTTCATACTAAATTTAATTACTGCAATTATTAAATATTCATATATTATAATTATAAATCGGAATAAAATTAAGGAAATAAGTGTTATTGTTGTTTTTGAAATAATCTACCAATTTCTTAAAATTAAACACTATCTACAGAATTGCATTGAAGCGTGTTTTTTATGATAGTGATTTTAATCACTGTCAGATATCATCTATTGTTGTCCCAACTATGCCACTATACTGTGCCACGACCCCACTGTGCTGCCGTTTTTTTTATTGTGTCTGTTTCCACTTTTTCTCAGATATCATCGAACCGATTTCTTTCAACGATAAATCAAAAGATCACAAATCATATCTAGTCAAAGAAATTAGACTCAAAAATTGTAAAAAGGTCCCTCGCTCAACGAAAATGAGGGAAATCTCCAAAAAAGTTACAAATTTAAAAATAGCTAATTTTTTCAATTTTTTTTTCTTAAAACTGCCATAACTTTTTCAATTACGATTATATAAATATAATTTTTTTTATAGATGCATAATGTCTTTACCTATCATTTGGTATATTTTTTTTTATAAATCTAACCCTTCACTTGCCCACAGGGAGGGATTTTAAATGACAACTTTTTCAACTTAACTTTTTAAAATATTCCGGAAATACTGACATTTTTATATATATCTTAAATTATGTAATATACTTTATTATGGCAAAGAAAATTTCAGACTTTATTTTGTTTTCATGGTAAAAATAGTCATCAAAGTTAATAAAAATAATACGATTTTTGTAAAAAAAATTTTTTTTCATATTTTTAACTTTATTATGCTATACCTTTTTGATAAATGTATGGATCAATATAATTTTTTTTTATAAATGCATGATGTCTTTAGCTATCATTTGGTATATTTTTTTTACAAATTTGACCCTTTACATGGAAGCGTTTTTTATGATAGTGATTTTGATCACTGTTAGAAATCATTATACTTGACCCCACTATGCCACATCTCTACTGTGCCGGGTTTTTTTATATATGGAGTGCTCGATAAGTAAAGAAATGACTTTCTATTGTTCTCATTGTTTGTAACAATTGACTTGCTTCCTTACTTTTTGAATGATCTGTATAACAGTCTCCATTTTTACCAACCATACTATGGTGTAAAATTCAGATTCCAAATACAATAGGACTATAGTCAGACTACAGAATTACTGATAATTATTGATCAAAAGGTTTCACACATGACATTTAAAAGGAAAACTGTTGGGGTTATCTTCAGCAAAAAATTCAATAACAAAATAAAAAAAATTAAAATACACAACATGGACACAAGGGGCAAAATATTTTGAGATCACAATCAATAGCAACCTCAAATCCAACAAGCAGGTCAACAATATAATACAAAAAACAACCCAAAATTGAAGCAATTTGTTCCCAGTACTGAATAAGTACAGCCTGTTAGCATTATAAGCAAAACTCAATATCGACAATCTATATATAAAGCCATTATTAACATAAGCCAAGACCAGCATATGTTTCATTGACAAGTCAGTCAAACAGGAAAAGAATAGAGACTATACAAAACATTAGTCATATGTCTCTAACAATAAATCATTTTCTGTATGTAAACATACAGAAAATTGGAGACATAATAAAACATCACTCAAGAATTATGTTACATAGAAATGAATAATCAAAACACAGACACATTTATGAACTACTAAGTTTAGGCGAAAACAGTCAATACTCAAAGAAAACAAGACCCTACAACTGGAGTAGGTCATAAACATAAAATACATTTTTTTAAATTTTATACAACTTTTATAGCCTACCGTCTTACAAGATAAAATACTACACACGCCATAAAAACAGTAATGACAATAGAAATGTTGCTCAGTAAATAAAAAAAATTATCATAATATATAGAATTTAACCATACTTTGGTTAAAAGCAAATTTACCATACAAATCTAAATTTCTGGTCTTAATCAAATTTAAAGTCAAATTTTTTAATTAAAGAATTAGAATTAGAATTAGAAAAATACCTCATCTAACTTTCTACCCGTAATTAATAGCATGATACAAATACATTCTAGGAACTTATTAAACTCATCTTTTAATCCTAATTGCCTGCTACTTTTACTTTTATAAAACAGTTTCTTTATTAATCGAGTAAAATTTTTTTGACTGATTATTTCCTTCATGTATAACTCAGCAATAAATCTAGAATAAAATTAGAATTCATAAAAATGTTAATTTTATTAAAAATTGAATACTTTTACTGGCAATGGGAAATAGTTTGTTTTGTTCTGTCAACAGAAAAGTCTTCTATCTGTAAAAGTGTAATATATTATACATTATATAACCATCATTTTTAAAAACAAAATTTAAGTACACCAATCTACCTTTTTATGATTTTTTTTTTTTTTCATGAAATTCTGGTGAAATATATTATTACATTTTTCTATTATGATTTGATTAAATGTTAGGCCACAAGGTAATTTTTTTTTTGATTGACACTCATTGTGAATAAATGAACAAAGATTGACATACATTAATATCAACTTCGGATTTAAATGAGCCTTAAAGTAAAAAATAAAATTAATTATTAATATAAATTTTTATATTAATTTAATCATACCTGTTTGATTATAATACAACTTATTTCCAACAAAAACAATTTATTAATAGACAATTTTTTTAAGATCTCTTCGAATTTAACTGCATCTGTACAATTTAACTTCTTTAAATGATTTTCAAACATTTGAACATCCTTGAATTATTTAAAAGAAGTGATTTAGATCATATTAAAGTTAATATTCAAGTAAAATTCAGATAACTATTTAAATTCTACTTCCTATGCATCTTATTATACAGGGTGTTCAGTAAGTCAGAAAACGGGTTTCTATTGTTCTCATTGTTTGTAACAATGAGAACAATAGAAACCCGTTTCCTGACTTACTGAACACCCTGTAGAATTATCTTATTATATAATAAAACAAGGAAAAAAACGCTTTTCTGAAAAAATTACTTAGTCTCAGATTTCATATTTTTTTTTTGTCAACAAAAGTACTCGATCACCAGACTCCGGGGAAATTATTAGCAAAGGTTGGAAACGTTTTGCAACTCGCTCACGAGCGTTTTAAAATTTCGACCGTTTACGAGAAAAACGATCGCTGACGCGTTTAACGACTTAAGGTTTGAAATTTTCATCAGACCCGTCCAATGACATTCTTGAGATATGATAAAAAAATCAATTCAATCCGTTCATTTTTCACCGTTTTACGAGCTTATTTTTTTTAAGTCCACGCACATGGTTTTAATATGCGCATTGACTCATTTCTGCTTATACGTTTATTTTGAATCTTAATTATATGGTGTAATATGTACTTTTATTAGGACACTATTTTGCATTTGCACACAGCACTATATTTTATACATATATTTTATCGAGGAATATTATATGTTATACATAAATTTCAAGACGGTTATAGTTATATAAGTTTGTACTTTCATAATCAGAACAGTACATTATTAATAATCTATCTTTTCTCATATATGATGTATGAGTCTATGAGTTTATCGTTTAAATTGGAATATATCTTTGACAACTATACTGTCCAACGTTAATTCGCAGTTACCAATATTTTTATCAAAATTAAATTTGTTACATAGTCCCACGTATAATAACCTGCTGAATTTTTTTGTAATTATTCTATAATATAAACCCGGGGCTTGTAGGGCCTCGGGTCTGGGGCGGAGCCTAGTATACTAATAGTCTAGTACTGAAAAGTGATAAATTTTTCAGAATTTCCATTTAAAATTAAATATTATAAAATAAAAGAAACAACATATACAAAACTGTCAGAAGTTTGGAGGAAGATCAAAATACTAACAAACATGTCATGGTACATATCTACCAAATTAAAAAAATTAAAATCCTATAAACGTCAACACAAAGTTTGACTTCAGCAATAGACATAACTAATAAATTATCACTCTTTCCTAAACAAAATAGTAAACTATTTTTTCGATATATTTGTTGCACCGGAACAAACTCTTAACACATATAATAACTTAAAAGATCTAGATGATGATATAAGTTTTGATAAACTAGTATTATGTATTAATAAATTAAAAAGCAAGAGTCCAAAAATATACTAACAGACTTTTTACCTCAAATGTCTAATAAAGTTCTGTATTTTATAATCAATATATTTAACAATACTATCAAAACCCAATAAATGGACAAAAGCAATTATACCGATTCCCAAATAAAAAATCAGTCAACAAACAATAGAAGGTTTCAAACCCATTCAGTGATTTATGCTCAAATAAAGTATTAGAAAGAATAATAAAAAAATTAACTCTTGGCATTTTGAAAAAAAAGTTATTGAAAGAAAGTCAATGTAGTTTCTGTAAAAATAGGAGCATATATCTAACAAGTATAGAAACCAAAATCTGCAACACCTTTATTTCAAAACAAAGCATGACACTAATATATTTGGATTTATGTAAAGCTTACTATACTGTGCGGTGATGTAAGGTTCTAAAAATATTATTTAATTGGGACATTCAAGAATACATACATCATTACCTTCAAATTTTCTAATCGACAGAATCTTTAAAGTTAAAGTAAACACCCACTTGGGGGAAATTCAACTTAGAGAAAAGTATCTTATATCAGTATTACTTTGTTCCCTATTACAATGAAGGAAATAATATCATAAAATTATTTTCAGATAACATTAACATCCACACCAAAGGAAAAAAATTAGACCTTCATCATTAAAGACATACAACAAAGCATAGCTAGCCTAAATCATTAAAGCTAAATTTTAGAAATTCTATATCTAGTTTTTTGCTCCAATCATTAAGCCTTAATGATTGGAGCAAAAAAATAGATACAGAATTTCTCCAAACAGATAAAAATTTTAGACATAATTTTTAATAAGAATCATGACTAGAATAAACAATTCTTTGCACTATAAGCCAATACCATTAAAACAACAATTATAATCAAAATTCTGGCAAACAATAAATAGAGAGGAGATAAAAATATTGTGCGTAATGCATACAAAGATCTCATCCGATCAAACTGGGCAATAGCTCCAAAATCTTTAGCAGTGCTAAAAAGAAGACCTTAGAGAAACTTGAACTGATTCATGATAGAAACCTCCGTTTATTAACAGGTACATACAAAAGTAGCTCAATTGGAAATGTATTGTGCATATCAGGTAAGACATCCAAGTATTTAAGTGGTGATTAAATACAAGTTTAATCATCACCTCATATTGACCCCCCATTTGAGGGTAATGAAAAATTAATTTTTCTCCCATCTTAGAAAAATATGTTATATAACAGTAAACATAATCTTCTAAAGTTTTAGGAATTTAGCACACTCTAGAATACTCCTGTATTATGCTACTAAAATTTCAACACTCATATTTTACAACAATTGAATTAAACTAATCTAATATACTCTATATTCATTTTAGTTAATTGAAAGTAATCATGCATTACTTTTTAACCCTGTGATTAGGGGATAAGAATATTTCAAGACCCCATTGCTAGACATAGAATGGCGACTAATGAGGTTATGCTAGATCGACGGGCAGCGTAAAATTTTGTCAACAAATATGAAAAGTCCTGAGCTTAACTTAGGTGGGTTGTCTCATCTCGGATGTATGCAGGGACAAGAAGTGAGAGGAAATAAAGTAGTTAAAGACAGAGAATAATTCATGAAAAATATCAATAAAATAAAAGAATAAATTTTGGACGTCGCATATGATAGAGATAAACTGAGAATTTTGTAATGGCAAATAGATTAGTACTTAATGGGTCGATAAGTTGAGAAAGATTAAGATTTAGTTATAGTTACTATAAAAAATGTATGTACAATATTGTATTCTTCTTCTTCCTCATCTTAATCCCAACTACTTGGGGTCGGCCACCCTTATCCTAAACTTTCACTTGACATGATTTCTCACATCAGCTGTCCTTATATCACGTTCAATAGCATCCTTCGATCTCTTTTTTGGCCTTTCTCTACCTCTTCTTCCTTCGACATTCATTTCTATAACTGTTCTTACAGCTTCCGATTCTTCTCTTCTTATAACATGACCAAACCATCTAAATTTATTTTCTCTCATCTTCAACCACCCGCAATTAATCCTGTGTCTTACATCCTCGTCAATACAACCTCTCTTTTGCACAACTGATCCTAAATACTTAAAACTTTCCACCTCTCCAATCACGTCCTCGCCTATTGTCACTGATCTACTCATTTCACATACCTTGAGTTCTCCTTTATCAAACTTGTACTCTATATACTTTGTCTTACTTCAACTTATTCTTAAACCCTTTTCTTCAAGAGCTCATCTCCACATCTCTAGCATTTGATTAATTTCCTCCCTAATTTCTCCTATTAACACTATATCGCCGGCAAACATATATTTACATGTAATATATTGAATATATTTAATATATTATACAAATATTTTATATATTTACATGTAATCATTATTAAATAAATAATTGATGAGCTTTTAAACTAAGTCATCAATTTATAATACATACAGTTTTTAATTTTTTTAAACTTGACGATTTAGTAACATTTTTTGTCATATTAGCTATAGTTGTTGAAGTTCCTAACAGGTTTATTTCTTTTTGGATAACTGGAACAGTTTTAATTTGTTCTCTAGATTGAGCCATTAAAGTTTTCTAATGAAAATGTTAGTGTTTTATAATAAATAACAAAAATAAATTAAATATATTAAAATAATTATTACAATTTTATCTAATTTAACATCTGTTCCTTTTGAAATATTATTAGGTTTTTCAATATTATTTATAAATGAAGAATCAAAATTTGAATTTATACCCCGATCAAAAATATTAACAGTTTCATTTAAAGTAATGCATACCTAAAAAAAAATATTTTTTATAATAAAATGTACATCTACTTGAAAATAATTAAACTGTTATTAATGATTTACTTTTTCTTTTATAAATAAGTCAGGATTATTCTGCTTCCAATGATTACGCTCTAAATTTACTAGATCAATAATTAGAAAACAGACATTATTAGATATATTGTTATGCACAGCATTTATTAACAGCCTTTTTAGATTTTCAATTAGTTTAGAAAATTTTTTGTTCTGAAAAAATATTTTCTGCATTAATTAACTATTTTTTTTATACAATTAAGATATCTATACTTGACTTAAATCTTTTCCAATAACCATCATGATGTAACAAGCACTTTCAATTTGAACATTACAATTACTTATTATTAATTTCTGTAAGCTGAGAATAATCAAATCTGATGTAATCATTTTTTGTTGGTACATTTCACATATAAAACTAAAAATGGTATAAACTAATATTAATTCTTAGACAAAATACAAATGAAAACAGTAAAAAACAAAGATTGAAATTATTTTAAAAGTTAACTTAGAAGTTAATAATCTGGTTAAGTTAATAATAGATTAAAACTTTATTGAATAAATATAATATTATAATAGCATGGTTTTAAATTGAGTTTAACTTTGGTTTCATAAATACATAATGTAGATAATTACTTATTTTTGTTAATTATTGACAAAAATATGGTATAGTTCACAAATTAAAGCTTCACAATTTTATTGCTTTATCTCCTTTCCTTCCCTCAAAAAATTCAGAATATGTGTGGGTACTACAAATGTGTCAGAGGAGACTTAAACCACCACATACCCTATTCAAAACTATACTAATGTATATTTCATTAATATCAATAGTACTAGGATTTTTCTATGTTAAAAAAATCTGTTAATATTCTAAATATAAAATTATTTTTGGCATTAATCTACACCAAAAAAAAAAAAATTATTAAAAAATAATAAATAATGATTTTTTAAAAATTTGAACTAGTCTATTTGGTACACAGGATTCTTTAAACAGGGCAATTGATATTATACTAAAAAACAATATTATTTCAGGAAAATATAAGTAAATCAATCACCCTGTAAATTACAACTTTAAGATTATTATATAGGGTGTTCAGTAAGAAAGAAAAAAAGGGTTTCAATTGTTCTCATTGTTTATAACAATGGATCTGTTTTCTTAATTTAATAAATTACATTAACAATACAATTACCGGCTTTTAGCAACTAAATAACTATGCTCAGATTGTGCATTTTGATCCCAAGCCGTAGAAAGTAGTATAAGTAAACTTTTATGCACAATTAGATCTTTGAAATTCATAAAATCACAAATAACATCATTTTCTTTTGAATAAAATGGAACTTGTAAATTTTTTAATGCTGCACATATAAACGCACAAGGTAATCCAAATTTTTGATCAGAAATTGCCTACATTATACAAGACAGTAATTAATTAATAATACTATATATCAGTAAATAAATCATAATACTTTAACATTATTTTAGTACTTAAAAAAATAAAATTTTTTATTTAAATGTGAAATTATATTTTAATAGTTGTACTCATACAAAAACTGGATTTGATAAGTTTAAAAGCAAATCTTATTTTAATATACTTTTAATCTTTTAAAGCATAACTTATTTTAATTAAGAGTAAATTTGTTTTCCCAAAATACATTTTTTTTTAATTTATAGTTTATAATAAACACAACACAGTGTTGTGTTGAATATGGAGAAAAATGACAAGACAAAATGAATACACAAGAAAAGAAATGAGCAAATGCTAGAAGAAGTGCGAGAAGAAAGACAGTTGATGAAGGTGATTGAATTAAAAAAATAAAGTTAATCGGACACATCATCTGATACAATGACTTTATAATCAACATTTTCGAAGGAAAAAATCTGGGGAGAAACAAAAAGAACTCCCAAGGAAACTATAATTTGAAAATATTCTGGAACTCATGAACTGTGCGTCTTTTGTTACAATAAAGAATTTTGGCGTCAAACAGAGAGAAGTGACTTCAACGAAAAAGAATTGCCTTTAATAGATGATTATGACAGTGTGTTAAGATTTACAAAAAGAACAATTTATATTATATTTAAAACAAATTTTTTGTAATTTTTTTTTATGGTTATAGTTATAAGCTTTAAACAAATTGAAGTTTACTTAAGACAAAATCGCCATATGAATATATAAATTTAAAAAGATAAGACAAATTACCATTTTTAAAATAATATTAGCAGTACGTTTGAGTTTTTCATACTCAAATGAATGAATCTTGTCAATAACATTTGCTTGCTCAACCAGTCTATCAGATTCAATTACATTTAATACATATAAAATTTTTTCAATAACTTCCTTTAACAAATAGTATAAAATAAAAAAAATTATTTTCTTTTATAAACCAGTGATAATGACTATGGCCCAAAATTATATACATATGTAAATTTTGTTTGAGTCACTTTACTTTAAGTTCGGGAAATTTTGTTGTAGGATTATATAACATAAAAATAGTAGCGTACAAATATTTTTTTTATTTTAGGGTTAGATAAAGACCCCTCAAAAGTATAACGTCAGTAACAACACAAAAATTTCGAGTCAATTAATAAAAATTTGTACAGGTTGATGGCCTATCTAGAATAACATATCAAAATGTATAAATGCATATAATTTCGGGCCAACATGATTTATTAGTAATGAATAATAACAAAGTATTTTCAACCTTATTTTTTGTATATAGTTCCATTTCATAATTCAAATTTTGCGTCGTCATTGTATAATCAATTAGTAACAATTATTACAACATTTAATTTAAAACATAACATATCTACAAATGACGTTTAACACGAACACCAGATAAAAAACATTAATATTGTAATCGATCAATACAATCACACATTTAGTTTTCTCATAAAAAAATCTGTTCATTTATATTTTAAATAGTTATCGGACTTAATAATAGAAAAATAAAATAAATATTACTCCGAAATATTAAGCAACCATAGATATAAATAGACACAAATTCCTATCACATCTTATAACCTATAATTTATTTATTTGATCATATCATATCATAAAGCCAAAAATGCAATAAAGTAAAGTGTGTTTCCGGAGTGATACATTAAATAAGTTGAAATTGTTAGGAGTTTAATAATAATAATGGGTTACGTCTACTTTTACATTTATCTTAAATTAAAGCTTATGCAATGTACTTCAATATGAAAAAAAATTTCGAACTTCATTTTGACTCCTTTGTGAAAATGGCTACTGTATTCAAAAATAAGCTATTTTTGTGTTCAAATTCTCGATTTTATATCTTATAATTTGAATATTATATTTTTATAACTTTTCAAAAAATATATAGATCAATACAATTTTTTTATGGTAAATATTATTTATATACTTCTTTCATTTGACATACTTTTTTTTAAAATAGGACCATTTCCTTTATACAGAGGGGGTTCAAAACTTAAAAATGCATATAGAAAATAGAACCCGGCACCTTTTTTTCTATAGCGAAATGACTATCGAATTGATAAAAAATGTACTTTTTATGCAAATATTACTGTTTAAACTAAAAAGCTATTTTTATATTATAATTCTCGGTTTTGTATTTTATTTTATTATAAATTACCTCATAAAGGTTTTTGAGCTTAAAACATTTTAGTTTAAAATATGAACTTATTTGTTTTTTATTATATTTAGATTAGCCTCCCCTTGTCTAAAGAAATTTTTTTCATAATAAAATTATTTTACTATGTGATTTTTTTTTTTTTGTGGATATCATTTATTTTTTTAGCTCTCACTTGACTAACTTTTTTTTTAACAATAAATCAAATGATTAAATTTATTATCTAATTGAAGATATCCTCAAAAATTCTCATTTATCAAATAAAAAGTTGCTTAACCAGCTTTTTCCATACCGAAAATTAATATCATTCCTTTCTATTATTTTTAAAATATTTATCGTCAAACTAGGTTTGATATGATAATAGGTTTTATATACAAAATAAAATATATTTACACTTATAATCAAATTTTTTGCATCAATTGAGTAAATCTTTTTAACAACTTTTTGATTGATGTTTTTAGTTAAAGTAAATCATTACAATAACTAAGTTCTGAATATTTCAATTGTTGTATTTTTCTGAGAAGGTATTATTTTATTAATTTTAAAATTTTTTTGTGTTTTTGAACTGTGATGCGATGCTGAGAAGGTATTAATTTTACTATGGGTGTTTTTTTTTATCATTTTTTTTTTTGTGTCTGTTATTATTTTTTCTCAGTCTCACGGAACCGATTTCTTTCGACAATACGTTGAAAGATCAAAAATCATATCTAGTCGAAGACATTAACCTCAAAACTTGAAAAAATTTTCCTAGCTCGCCGTAAATGGGGGAAATCTACAAAAAAAATATCAAATTTAAAAATTACAAATTTTCGACATTTTAGCTTCGGTACGAAACTGAGAAGGTTTTAATTTTACCTTGATGTGTTTTTTTTTGTATTTAATTGAAGATATTACCCTCAAAAATTGAAAAAATCCCTTAATCAAATAAAAAGTACCTTAAACAGCTTTATCCATACAAACAATTATAATGATTCATTTCTAATGTTTTTAAAGTATTTATTGTCGAATTAGATTTGATATGATAAAAGTATACAACAGCAAAAGTAAATAATTTTACTTTGTAATTTATCAATATTTTAACTCTATTTGTGTATGTTACTAACAGTCTATAATATTCAAAGTTTTTTGGTAACATGTTGCTATATAAATCATAAATCTAAAAAAAAAAAGATTTTTAGTTTCACTTGAATTTAAAAATCGATTTTTATAATTATAATCAAAATTTATAAATCACTCAATTGAGTATATTAACACGCTTATATTAGTTTCACCTGTATGTATGTATGTATGTATGTATGTATGTATGTTTGTAACTCTCCAAACACCACGCGTTATCGCATATTCCGTCGTCTAGACTAGACTGTCATAACGCATTCACCCCTCCTCACGCCACGCTCACCACACGATGGCACACTATTCCTATAAAAATTTATTTTTAGTTATCGTACCCGTACACGCGTGCTTGTCATCAATATTATATATAAATAAACAAATTTTTATTTTGACTGACCAATACCGCCCGCGTCTAATGCGCCTTACGTATATATATTTATATATTCCTACCACCGTTTATACCTCAGGTATAACGTTAGTCTGACCCGCCCCCCACAAAATACGGTTATACCTAGTGCATGATACGTTTACGTACTTAAGTTGCATTATTTGTATATATATTCTAATTACTATTAAAATTTATATATTAACACGATTTATTCTAATAAAGAGATATAAAGTATTCATTCCGATTACGAGGGATGATTCCCGTATCGTCATTTTTCGTCACTACCTCCATGTTCCGGGAGTGGATAACTTACGCGCCTGCTGCTTTCCTTGGATGTGGTAGCCGTTTCTCAGACTCCCTCTCCGGAATCGAACCCTCATTTCTCGTTACCCGTTACAACCATAACTACTATCATAACTTGAAACTAAAAAGTAAAAAATAAATATAGTTTAAAAAAACTAAAAAAACACGCTTTTAAAGCACATCGAACTAAAAAGTTAAAAATAATTTTTAAAATAAGCTTAAAACAATAATGAACGAAAAATACTAGTATTATTGTAATAAAAGCGTGGGTGCTTTGTGCCATATTTTTCGTATATTGAGCGCCCGACGCTTTTATCACAGTGATTCTAGTATTTTTCGTTCATTATTGTTTTAAGCTTATTTTAAAAATTATTTTTAACTTTTTAGTTCAATGTGCTTTAAAAGCGTGTTTTTTTAGTTTTTTTAAACTATATTTATTNAAAAGAATCCATTAAGTAAAATGATAAGGGAGGCTACAAACGTCATAAATAGTTCAAAATTAATAATCGAAGAAAAGTTCAGGTTTTTCATTAAAATTTCAAACCCTCAAATACCTAAACTATATGCTTTGCCAAAAATACATAAGCCAGGAAGTACTATGAGACCTATTGTGTCGAATATTAATGCTCCGACTTACAATTTGGCTAAACACCTAGTAAGGGTATTTTCATCTTTCAAAAAATTCGATAGTTTTTCAGTTAAAAATAATATTGATTTAGTTAAACAATTATCTAGTTATACCATTCAAAATAATGACAGGTTAATTTCTTTTGACGTAGTTGCCTTATTTCCGAATATTCCAATAAATATAACAATTGATTTTCTTAAAGACTGGCTAAAGGACCAAAACATTGAACAGGATAAAATAAATGAGCTTATTAATTTAACAAAGTTATGTATGAGTCAAAATGTTTTTCAGTTTCAAAATAAATTTTATGAGCAAACTGAGGGCACAGCAATGGGAAATCCGCTATCACCATTTTTAGCAGAACTTTTTATGAGTAGGTTTGAAACAAATTTAAAATACACTTATGGTGATTTTCCAAAAATTTGGGTTAGGTATGTCGATGATATTTTTGCAGTTATAAATAAAGATTTTAATATGGGGGTTTTCATACAACATTTAAATTCTTTTTACCCATCGATTAAATTTACATATGAACAAGAAATAGAGGGAAAATTGCCTTTTTTGGATTTATTAGTTAAAAGAACAGAGGGGGAACTAAATTTTGAAATTTATCGGAAAAACACACACACGTTCAGATACATTCCGAACACATCGAACCACACCTGGCAACACAAATTGTCAGCTTTTAATAGTATGGTTTACAGATTAATTAATATTCCGATGAATAAAATAGATTATGATAAAGAATTGGTGGTTATAAAAGAAATAGCTAAATTTAATGGGTATAACGAAAACATAATTTTGAAATTAGTCCGAAAACAAAAGTGGAAAAAAGAAAGGAGGGCAGCTAGTACACTCTCCAGCGAGGGGGAACAAAAAGTAATTAGATCACCAATTTTATTTTATCCGGGCATCTCAAATGGATTAACTAAAATATTTAAGAATTTTGGTATTACTTTGGTAACATCTAAGAGTAATAATTTAAGAGATTTATTAGGTAACCCTAAAGATAAGGTAGATGAAGGGGGGAAATCAGGCATTTATAAAATACAATGTGAAAGTTGTAATAAATGTTACGTAGGACAAACAAAAAGAAATATAGGGGTCAGGTTTAAAGAGCACTTAAGAAATATTAAAAATCAAGAAATTGAGAAATCTCCAGTGGCTGAACATTTATTGACACATAATCACTCTATTAAAACCATAAAACTAATTAAAAACGTAAATAATTACAAAGAACTTAATATCAGAGAAGCAATAGAAATGTTTAAAAATAAAAACAATTTAATTAATTGGGATCTTGGCCCACTGAAAAATTCATTATTAAACTTGTGTAAACTGGCAAAATGTGATAATATTACTTAGTGATAACGTCACTAGGTGATAAGGTCACTAGGGGTATATAAGGGAGTTTTTTCTAGTCGGGGTGTCAGTATGTGTTTAGCGTTGATAATGGTAACATTGTTTCCGAAATACGTATCCGCGACTTTTCATTAATTTTTTTGTGGCTTTGAGTTTAATATTTTTAATATTTTTTAGTTTTTTTAAATTAATAATATTTTTAATATAGTTTTAATTTTACTTAATTAATTAGCCACAAGTGATCAATTTTTATTATATAGAAAGTTAAACTTATTTAAATTTGTTTGCTTCTTTTAAGTCGAGAAAAATATGTTTGAAATTTGAACTAGCTTAAATACCCAATTTTTTCAATTGGCGATAGCAAAGTACGATTGCCGAGTTGGTAAAACTTGTGTTTTACACGCTTGGGGTACGAGGTTCCAGCCCTCGTATGACAATCAAATTTTTTGCATTTTTTCTTAATTCTTTTTAAGTTAGTATAAATTTTTAACTCATTTAGATTCAATAACTTCAATAAAGATCAATGATCCCATCACTTTAGTCGCCCCTTGCAAGAAGAAATTTCTTATTCGTATTAAAATTATTTTA